CCAAAGAGTAAGGTAATTTTGTTCGTAAATTATGTGGGACAGGTGTGAATTTCTGTAGTTCGTATCGTGCATCGGTACAGGATTTTATTGGGTATTCATTATTCAAGTTGTGAATAAACATCAAAGGTAATAGAAACCCATCGAGTAAAACGAACATTTATATTTCATGTAGAAAAGAATAGAAGTGTCGGCGTTGAAGAAATAGGCCCATGGTCTGTTGCCGATTCTTGTACTTTTCGTGACTTGATTCACAAGGGATCCGGCCTTTGCAACCCGATCTTTCCATAACCGACGATTGATTGAGATAGCTGCTGGACTTATTGCCTGGGCCGTAATTTGCTAGGCATTTTAAGACTGAACATATGCTCCTGCATAGCTTCGCCTAGTCTGTTCTTAAAGGCGTTCATGCTAATATGTCGATACAATTCGAAAATTTAAAATAAATTGGATTAAAAAAATGGATCCAATAGATTGGATCCATAAAATTTAGATCCATAATCTAATTAATTTAGATTAATTAGACTAATGTAGTAGATTAATGGGTCTTAAAAAACTAAATGAATTTACGAAATCCTAACTGAAATTACATGAAATAGAATTGAAACAGTACATCCGAGTAAGTTGAATCGGGCCTCGGCGACAACAAGATTCAAGGACAAGGACGCAGTGAAGCGTTGATTCGTATAGCGTCTGAGCTGCATTGTCTGAAGAGCAAGATGGTATGGACTATAGAGGGCGGGGGCAAAGATGTGGTGGGAATAATCAAAGGGGGGTGGGAAGGATCAGGGGACGGTAAATGTGAAATGATACGCGCGACTGTCCTCGGGTATACATACATACGGTGCAATACTTTTGCTTTAAGTATGTAGAAGCAGATGCTCTGGCAACATATCGACCTAACTTTAGGATGGACATATGCCACTTTTCAGCCATTCTTTGATTCCTGGCGAAGCCAACCGCTCGTACTCTTGGTGTGTGCTTAGGTTATACATTAATAATAAAATATCTGTCTTAAATGGAAGGAAAAACGTCATTATTTATAATTTTCTTTCGACATTATGTTTATTGAAATAACTGTGTATTTTAATATATATGTATTTATTCCAAAATCCACTGACTGAAGTGTCTAATAAAGTTCCCCTTAATAATTAAGATAAGAAGAAATGTGAACGAAGATAATTCATTAAAAATAAAGTAGATAACACAAAGGAAAATGGCATGATGAAGATAATACAGATAATACGGTTGGAATAGCTACCTGCGAGATGGTATGTGAGAAATAGTGGAGGAGATGATGTTTGAGAAAGTTTTAGGAATAACAATGTATTGTGCACAACTGTGACGTAGACACATTCATGTAGCACCCTAAATAATGATAACATTATTTTGTGTTTACAGTCGGGCGTTCTTACAATTACTTCGATTGAACTGAATACATTATACAGTGAGTATCACAAAAAATAACACAAAATAAAATAACATCTTTAATACGTCTATGGCAGATCACATTATACAGTGAGTATCACAAAATATAACACGAATGAAAATAACATCCGTAATACGGTAACCTTTCCATGTAAATTAGAGGTTATTTCATTACTGAAACTTTGATCTTGCGTTGACACTGACGCACATAACGAGAATCAAAACAATATAGCGGCCGTGAATTGTTACCGAGACCTAATGCAGTTGAGACGACGAAAAACAACAAGACGACACTCTTGTACAGACTTTGGAGTGAAATTGGTGGCTGGTTGAGTATTTTGTATCACAATCATGGTAACAATTGGAAAAATTATGCAGGGTGATTTTAGGATCCAAAAGTTAAAGCATTAGAGATTAAGTGTGATTTAGTATATAGCAAATAGTTGATTAACTTTTTTGGATTCTGCCATGGTTTAATTTATATAATTTGTTCGGAACCTTGCATCACTTGTATGCTATAATCTCAAATTAGAATAAAATTATAATCAGAGAAAGTTTCAAGTATACATATTATATTATTGATCCGCCCCATTATGTGACAGGCAAGGTTTTAATCTCTTCCATATACCATGTAAATTTTGTAGTTTTATTGATTATCATGCCTGTATTGGTAAAGAACTGATAATAGAGCTGATCTCAGCAACATTTTCAAATAAAATAGCATCAATTGACATCGATATTTGATTTTAAATTCACAAAAATTTATTCACTATTTGTTTTATTTCTGCAATTTATTGTGTTGGACAAATTCAAATGGGACAAAGTTGAGGCTTCAGTATGGTAAATTCAACATATTTCAATGACTGAGAATAGTTGCCGTATTTAAGCAAGAAAAGTCACTAAAGAAGAGTTTTTTTGTTGCAAATAATGTCAATCGGTTTCGACCTTGAGCTGCCGACTGGTTCTTATTGCCGTGGTCTTTCTTTAACGACCTCGCCGAAAGTCTCGCTAACTGCCATCTGTCGTGCCGTCCGTCCGTGCCACCGCAGTGAAAATATTGCCTGCCGTCTGTCGTGCCACCCGACCATACCGACGCAGTGAATACATTGCCTGCCGCCACCCGACCATACCGGCGCAGTGAATACATTGCCTGCCGTCTGTCCTGCCACCCGACCATACCGGCGCAGTGAATACATTGCCTGCCGTCTGTCGTGCCACCCGACCATACCGGCGCAGTGAATACATTGCCTGCCGTCTGTCCTGCCACCCGACCATACCGGCGCAGTGAATGCATTGCCTGCCGTCTGTCGTGCCACCCGACCATACCGGCGCAGTGAATGCATTGCCTGCCGTCTGTGGTGCCACCCGACCATACCGGCACAGTGAATACATTGCCTGCCGTCTGCCGTGCCACCCGACCATACCGGCGCAGTGAATACATTGCCTGCCGTCTGCCGTGCCACCCGACCATACCGTATTGAAACATCCTTCAAAGACAACACGTGTGAGAAGCATTAAGGGGTTAGTCTAAGAACGAACTTCTTAGAAGCAACACTTCCGGTGCTTGAACTTTGCTGCAGACTCAGAAAAGCGGCGAGAAGATCAAAAGAGCAGCCGGGGTGTGAACACTGACACTGACACTTGACGGTAACACTGACACTTTGATACATGCACCTCATTAGGCAGCAATCCGCACCACGACTTGCGTTACAATTGATACTCAAGCGAGGTGTTATTGTTGCAGTAATACTGGCACTTTGATACATACACCTCATTCTGGTTCACCTTGCACCACGACTTGAGTTTCAATTAATACTCAAGCGAGCAGTAAAATACTTATATCGAGCAGTAAAGCTAGCACGTCGATACCTGCACCTCGTAGCTCGCACCTATTAAAAGCTTCTGACATTTTTGTCACCGAGTTCAGCAGTTAAAACTCGTTGACAAGCAAAATTATAAATCATTGAGGCTTATTCTTCATTGAGTTCAAATGAAGGCTGCCCAGTGACAGAATTTGTAATGTAATTGCAATGAATTTCCCGAAAAATAATTAGAAAATTTGACCGCAGCGGGCGAGGTAGTGATTATATTTTTATCATTGAATGCACAGGCATCAAATGCGCATCAATCATTCTAGACATGCATTAATAATAAATTTATTTTTAACTCAACACGATAAATGCAGAAGATATCTTGTTCCCATGTCTGCCACGAGTATCGTTGCACGATTCAAATCTGTAACTGAAATTATTTTGGCTGCCGAGTTACGGATAGCTCTGACCGAGAAATGTTGGATGCTAATTTGGAGTTACATTCAAATCCTCAACTCTTCAGAATCTAGTTATTTTTAATCATTTTAAGTAATTGCATTTATTACAGAATTTCTATATTGAAATGAAACTCTCAATTGTTAAGGGCACAAGTTACGAGTATTGGGGTAAAGGAAGCCATTATTTTATGCCGACAGTCAGACGGAGAGCCGAACGCAGGGACGGACAGTCGATGGAAACATCAACGCTCGATGATCGAACGCCCAATTAGAGGAACAGTACATGGCAGGCGGCCCGTAATGTACCTTTGTTATAGGAATTAAGCAGGAATAGAATATTCGATTTTTAGATGCAAGTCCGATAACTGTTGTTATGTCATTTTATTTTACATATTATTGTTGTATAAAACATAAAGAAAATATCGAAAGAATTAAATAAATTAAAAAATAATTTTTAATTCTGGTTAAATTAGTCTAAGAACTCTCATGCACTATGATTAAAAGTTTAAGTAGACGTGACCATATCCAAAGTGATTTTAGTGTAAAGCGACGGGTAAATATTGTTCCGATAGCCACGGCCGGCAAAACTACACGGAAGGCAGGACGTGTCACGAAAAAGTCTACGGAAAATAACACTAATATTTAAGTATCATGTACGATAGATCAAATGGAGGAACAGGAATGTTATCATAGAAATAACTATGAAGGAGCTGCTCGCAAGCATGTCAAGCTAAGAAATTTGACTCATAAAATACATTAACACGTTGACTACGATTGCTTCATCTTGTACTATTATTTCATTTTTTGTACTTTTTTTAAGCAGGGTTGCCAGACGGTCATTTTTTCCGGACAAATTCCGTGATTTAGTTTTTCTCAATTGCGTTGGCCGGCTAAAATTTATGATAGGGGTACATCCTAACTAAATATTAAATACTGCAAAAAGAAAATAAATGAAATTTTTATAGCGGAACCTACAAATAAACTAGTATACATTGAATTATCGGCCTTTTTGACCTTTTTTGTTCTCGGATTTGGCCGATTTTAGGCAACCTGAATTATGTACCACTACCTCCTGGAGAAATACATTTCGTGATACGCATATGTACCAATACGTAGTCAACGTGTTAACTAATGATACTTGGTATCGAGTGATAACAAAAACAGACTTCAAAAACATAATTCATCACACAGTTGATGTTCCACAATAATATCTTCTCAGGCAATTAAGCCAAACATTACGATGTGATGAAGTTTGTTCGAAAAATTCTAACAAACTGGGAGAAAATATACTGTGAAATGAAGAGAAATGAAATATAAATCTATTGACAAATGTGAAGATTCTGGACTGCTTAGCAGGGAGGCTCCAAGTGAACCGGTTACGTCCTCCGGTGTGAGTCACCTGGCTATAAATTTCATGCAAAAAAGAAGGCAGGGGTCAGCTCACGCTTAACCATTTTGAAATAAATTTTCAACCTTTCACCTTAATTGAAATTTAAATAAATATAATGAAGACTATGGTAAAATTCTTTAATCGTTTGAGGTCATTTCGTGTTTAAGGCATTCGGCGGGGCCGCTAAAGGCCCGGCTAATGCGACACGCAAGCGGAACTTTGTTCGGGGAACCTGGTCGGCATATATTGGCGTCATCTGTTTGCTGAAATTCAGTTGAGCTCAGCCAGCACGGGGGATGGTTGCGCACGCTCCCACTCTGGTGTGCGTACTGCGAGCTCGTATGTCTTCATCATCAACTTGGCCATCTCAGACCTGGTGCTTTGTCTGGCCACCACTCCACTCACGTTGCTCGAGATCGTCCCTCAATACTGGCCGCTCGGGGACACCCCCTTCTTGTGCAAGCTGGTGGGCACTCTGCAGGCCACGTCCATCTTCGTCTCCACCATATCCATCACGGCCAACGCTCTCGACAGATACTACGTGAGATTATTATCAAAATTAAGCCAATTTACAGATATGGACCATTGAGTTGTGTAGACAAAATCACTTATGTTCCACAAGCTTTGTTGGTGTTGATGTGGCACATGACCACATTTCTCGGTAAAATTTCCTTCTACAATTATTAATTGTTAGTACCTGAATTTAGCATTTCATGGGTTTGGTATTCCCTAACATTTGGGAACCTCGAATAATAATAGCCCTGTTTCTCTATTTTAATCTCATATAAAAGTAATATCAACGAAAAAAATCCCTTCAACCCTCATTCAACACAAAGCCTCCTATTAACTTCCATTTCAAATTTAAAGTAAATTATAATGGGTAAACTTATAATAAAATTTTATAACGATAAATTGAAAATTATGCTCTTACCTTTTTAAGCAGTCATTTCAAATCGAATGAATGCTATGTCTCATGATTCCAGAATTAAAATACAATTTTAGATTACAAGTCCGAGCTCCAAAAAAACTTCATAAAATAAATCGATCACAGAGTTGTAGGGGGAGCACTTCTTTCCTCTGGAAAGTTAAAGATATTATCATCAATATATGGCACATTTTGATCGTATGGTGATCTAGTCACAGATTGTCATTCATTAAAATCACTTTATTGAATCATTCCTTTCTACGACATAAATAGGCGCGCTGTACACTAATGAAATTTACAGCTTCCTTTCTTTCCGATCGGAGTAAGAGGCTAAGTTTCGAGGCTTTCCTAATAGAACAAAATAAATAAACTTGCGATACGTGGTAAACTTGAGTTATATGAGCCAGATTATGCCTACAAAAAAATTGCTTACATCAGTTTACTGATTCTGCTCTACTAATTCGTATCTTACAGCTCCGTTCGGGCTTTACATCGCATAAAAATTTCTCAGCGTGCTCACCCCGCATTCCCCTTTCAGTAAATACTAAAATAAATTTCATGTATGCATACACATGAACTGCAAGATAATGTTAAAAAATGCATGTGAGCTTTCGCTAGCAATATGATGTTATTTATTAACTTCCAACCTAAATGCTGTTACTGCAATCAAAACTTGTTCAAGCCATTCAACATGCAACTTTCATCTCACTCATTTTGAAATTTATATGGTCAGATATCCCGGCGTTGCACGTAGTATGCAATCTCTGAAAATTGACGAAAACTTCATCAAATCGTATTTCCATTTTTTTACTAATTCATATTTCAAAATGTTGTTATACATGAATTTTCTTGTTCAAACCCATATCGAAGCTTGAACCCCATCAAAAACTATGAATTCAATTGTATTTTAAAACATGTATTCTTCTTTCAAAACAACGATAATCGATAAAGATAATCACAATTTTTGTTAAATCCCGTTCTCCACAATCCCGTTTCCTAGAATTCTGTTAATAATTGCCAAATTGAATTAGTGTCAATTAATGAAAGATACGTTCCGACAGGCGTTTAGCACGGATCTTCCACTGAACTCCCGTTTCGAAATTGGCGAACATTTAATTTTTTTTAAATAAGGTATGCTTGTCAAATAGGAATATCATTTCAATTCTTAAATTAAATTTCACCATCTATGCCATTATTTAATCGTGAAAATTTATTAGTTTTGCATGCAAAACAGTGGCCAATAGTTGGCCATGCTTTCAAACACGCAAAATTCGAAAATTTTAGATTTCAACTCGTCTATATGACTTTTGTGCAAATAATTTATAATACAATTGCGTAGTCAAATATTCTTATATTTTGTTCGTTATAGTATACTAAAAAATCGAAAGGAACCAAAATCTAGCGACACTGAGACATTGTCGATCAAATCGTAATTAGCAACAAAGATTCAACATGACCGAGTTAAGTAACGATCATTTAAATAAGTGAAGAAGTTAAAGGAGGTAAGCAAGTGAAGGTTTCACCTACTTCATACCGGAATGATTAAAGTTAAAAGCTAATGGAAATAATTTCACTTAAGGCGAACGTATTCAAACTTATTTTTATTTCACTAAGGCGAACTTATTCAAACTTCACTTAGCTCAAATTCCCGAGAAACTGGAGGAGGCCTGTGGTGCTCTGTTTGATATGCGCGCTCTGATCTTGAAGTCGTTCATCAGACTCCGTTGAGCGAATTGTGAAGGTACGCCATGTGCTCGCGTACGTTGGTGAAGCTTGGCTGACTGACGTAACAAAACATAGCTAGAGGAACGAATGGCGGACAATGCCTGTACGGAGTGAGACCAAATATTCTCCGGTTCATTGTTCACTCGTAAACGTTCAACGAGATTAGAAAATTTCAAGAAAAAATACCAAACTGTTTCTTCAGAAACTCTTGCCATTTTCTGTTCACGAAAACAAATATTTTTACCAAGTGTGATAAATTACCATCTTGACCAAGATATTCATCATCATCAGGATTCATCATTTCATTACATACAAACGAAAATGATGCATGGAAATTCTCGTGAATGATGAGAAGAATTTTGTTATGAAGATTCGGGACCTCATCCTGAGTCAGCATACAAATGGAAAGCAGGCTTTTGTATTATGCTGGAATTATGTACGCAGGTTTGATGAATGATGCAAACAACAACACTGCGAGCATTGCGATTCCTTTTCGAATTCAGCTCATCGTTCAAACATGTCAGAAAGAGGAATCCCAAAATACCCCAATGTTCAGAGATGTTTTTTTTGCATTTTACAGTTTCACATAGTCATTAGTTAAGTGTGAAACACAACAGACGTAACAGCCAGTGAAAAACATGAAAATTGGGTCCATAATGATTTGAACAATTGTAAAATTGTTGTAATTGAGCGGTAAGAATGAAAATAATTAATTAATTTCCCACACTGAACGTTGCATGACATATGTGCCTAGGGCTCGTCCCAATACCCTAAAAGCAATCAAATTAGCACATTTATGGGAAGTATTTCATGCATCCAAATGACCTTGACCACGTCTGTCCAAAAACTCATTGAAAATATCCGACATGTCGTACACTCGGCATGCTTCATGTCATTAGCTCTTAGGCTTTTGCTCGGAGGGCAAAAGCTCTCGAGCAGCAAAGGTCAGTCGTTTCGTTGCTGTCAGCCCGGAGAGCAGAAGCATTTTCTTTCCTTCTTCGCTAGGAAATGGATCCAGAATAACAGAAAATTCTGCAACAAACAACGTTGAAACCAAGAAAAGTCATATATTAGCTATCACTTAGGATTCAGAGCACCAAAATTACGGCAAATATCAGAACATAAAAAATGTATGTTAAGATTTTTCAAGTTACGCTCCCGTCAGTTGGCTTCCCATCAGAAGTTAACGGTAATTTTTAAACCATTTCCTAACGTGGAAGGAAAGATTTTTCGCAAAATTAGGTGGGACGGGTGTTAATTTCGGTAGTTCGTATCGTGCATCGGTACAGGAATTTATTGGGTTGTATCCATTATGCAAGTTATGAATAAATATCAATGGTGATAAAAACGCATCGAGCAAAATGAGCATAAATATTTTATGTCGATACAATTCGAAAATTTAAAACAGACGGCATCAACGTCACTTAATTTAGATTAATTAGATTAATGTAGTAGATTAATGGGTCTTAAAAAACTAAATGATTTGCGAAATCCTAACTGAATTTACATGAAATTGAATTAAAACCGTACATCCGAGTAAGTTGAATGGGGCCTCGGCGACAACAAGATTCAAGGACAAGGACGCAGTGAAGCGTTGATTCGTATGGTGTCTGTGCTGCATTGTCTGACGAGCAAGATGGTATGGACTCTATACCGGGTGTCCAAAAAAAACGGTATTCAACTTTGAATGGCTGTAACTCGAAAAGTAATAAAGTCAAAAATTTTTGGAAGGTCAGGATTTGTTTCCAATGTTTTTCTCCGCCTCTCCACCAAAAATAAGAAAAATCGATGTAGCCATAAGCATTTGATAGAACTTTCAGTACATGTGTTAAGAGGGGGTACAAAAGCTAGTTGTGGTGGGAATAATCAAAGGGGATGGGAAGGATCAGGGGACGGTAAAGGTGAAATGACACGCGCGACTGTCCTCGGGTATACATAGGGTGCAATACTTTAGCTTAAAGTATATAGAAGCAGATGCTCTGGCAACATATCGACCTAACCTTAGGATGGACATATGTCACTTTTCAGTCATTCTTTGATTCCTGCAGGCGAAGCCAACCGCTCGTACTCTTGATGTGTGCTTAGGTTATACATTACTAAAATATCTGTGTTAAATGGAAGGAAAAACTTCGTCATAATTTTCTTCCGACATTATGTTTATTGAAATAACTGTGTATTTTAATATATATTTATTTATTCCAAAATCCACTGACTGAAGTGTCAAATAAAGTTTCCCTTAATAATTAAGATAAGAAGAAATGTGAACGAAGATAATTCATTAAAATAAATAGAAACCACAAGGGAAATTGCATGATGAAGATAATACAGATAATACGGTGGAATGGAAAGTGGAAAAATGGAATAGTATCTACCTGCGAGATGGTATGTGAGAAATATTGGAGGAGATGATGTTTAAGAAATTTTAGGAGTAAGTAAAAATGTATTGTGCACAACTGTGACGTAGACACATTAATGGAGCAGCCTAAATAATGACCACATTATTTTGTGTATACAGTCGAGCGTTTTTGCAATTACTTCGATTGAACTGAATACATTATAGAGAGCGTATCACAAAACATAACACGAATGAAAATAACATCCATAATACGTCTATGGATGAATACATTATACAGAGAGTAGCACAAAATATAACACGAATGAAAATAATCCGTAATGCGGTAACCTTTCAATGTAAATTAGAAATTATTTCACTACTGAAACTTTATTCTTGCGTTGACATTGACGTACATAATGAGAATCAAAACAATATAGCGGCCGTGAATTGTCACCTAATGCAGACGAGACGTCTGAAAACAACAAGACGAGACTTTTGTACAGACATTGGTGTAAAATTGGTGTCTGCGTGAATATTTTGTAAATCACAATAATGACAACGATCGGAAAAACTATGCAGGGTGATTTTAGGATCCAAAAGTTTAAGTCAGGAGAGATTAAATGTGATTTAGAATATAGCTAATCGTTAGATTTTTTTTAATTCTGCTATTGTTTTATTTATATAATTTGTTCGGAACTTTGCATCACTTGTATGCTATAGTCTCAAATTAACAGATAGTTTGAATGTGAGAAAATATCAAGTATATATATTATCTGTTTAATTTGCCCCATTACTTGGCAGGCAAGGTTTTAATCTCTTCCGTAGCATGTAAATTTTGTATTTTTATTGATTATCATGGCTGTATTGTTAAAGAATTGATGCTGAAGTTTATCTCATAAATATTTTCAAATAAAATAGCATCAACAATTGACTTCGATATTTGATTTTAAATTCACCAAAAATTTATTCACTATTTGTTCTATTTCTGCAATTTCTTGTGTTGTACAAAATCAACTGGAACGAAGTTGATGCTTCACTAATGTAAATATAACAAGTTTCAATGACTGAGAATAATTACCGTATTTAAGCAAGAAATGCCACTAAATAATAGTTCTTTTGTCGCAAATAATGTCAATCGGGTTCGACCTTGAGCTGCCGACTGGTTCTTATTGCCGTGGTCTTTCTTTAACGACCTCGCCGAAAGCCTCGGTGACTGCCGTCTATCGTGCCGTCCGTCCGTGCCACCCGACCATACCGGCGCAGTGAATACATTGCCTGCCGTTGAGTTACCTTGCGAGAGAACCGAACACCAGAATCAGGCTTAGTCGAGCGGCTTATGTTAGTCGAGCGGCAAATTAAGGGCCTTACATAAGGAGACCAGAGCGAGAGGAATTAGCTTCGTCGGAAGTAATCGAAGACGCGCATTGCAAGTCAAGCTGGATTACCTCCGCGGAATTGGGAACGAAATGTGGTAATGATTCTCAATTAAACCTAAGAAGTAATTGTGTATTCTTGACGACATAAATGTTCTTAGAGAAGTATATGCATGTTTATGAGGCATTGCAATATTTAAATTGCTGGCCAAGGTGTACAAGTGATTATAAATTATAATTGTGCTCTTGAGTGTCCTAACTTCATGAGATGAGTACTTATATAGTTAGGTTGAATAATAACAGGTTAATCGAGAATTTAACAGCAAAAAATATTCAAGTAAATTCATCATAGTAATGAAGGCTGTCCTTCATTGGGTTAGTTTCACTCACGCATATACTCCAAACATTAATGAACACCAACAATTTACTTAAGACAGAAGAAGAGGCAATGTATACATTAATAGATAATACAAGACGCAAAACAATTTGGCACATTGGCTGCCAACTCTTAACTATTCTCGATGGCTCGGCTGGGCAATTTCTTGACACAACGGTTAAAAGCGCTACCCTGATCCACTGAATGAGCAATTGTCCATGTGGTGAACCCTACACATTGAAAATGCTAATACAGAACTGAATGAGACTATAATCATTTAAACACGCTGATGATGGCCTCGCAATATCATCACTCAATAGCTACTGAATATCAGATATGTACAGCAGATTTTACTGCTTAACTTAAATTGATTGAGTGGAATATCTTACCAATAAAGGCAGGGTGTGTTAACTAGGAACCTAAGTAAGTGAAAACGTAATTGTTATAGTGAAATGGGTGGCTCACAGGAGGAATGTTCCGTAACGACTCGTCTAAGGCCCGGTCTATTTCTTTCGTCGAGTGTTTTCAATCGGTGCATTCTACAATTTAATTTATAACCTTACAACCATCCCGTAATCGAAAACGTTCCAAAGACCAGTTTCATCATCGGTTAAAAATTAAGAGAATGTAAGTACTTTCAAAAGAAAAAGCATATACAACATAAAAGAAACGAAAATTTAATTGCTACAATAACTTAATTGCGATTTCAAAATACATAAATCCGACTCACCAGAAGTGGCACCCAGAATCTTAAAATCGCTCTGTTGCACAGTCACGTCGGACTGCTCAGCGTGAATTAAAACGGGCAGAAGCATAGGACGAGTGAGCCAGTAAAGTTCAGAAAAAAATTATTTCTGATTAAGGTGTTTAGCAAATCTGATGTTGAAATTCATGAAATAAATTTAATGTTTCTGCATTATGAAACTTATACGCTTCAAAACTTAAACCGGTACACCGTGTTAAAAATAATATTCGTATCAAATGAAATGTGGGCTTCTGAATTTTATGGCGAAAAGACGCAGTTCCCGTGAAACAAATGACGGCAGCTCAGCGCTTCGTTCAGTCGAATAGAGCCCGAGAGGCACGTCGCACAGATTACGGGAAATGACCTCCGTGTAATGAATGATACAGGTACAAATTGGTACAGGTAGAGATTACACTTGCGCAATGGCACCGGTACAAATGATCGGTCAACAAGCCCAACTTCATTTGTACAGGTACATGTACTATTTATGCATGTACAAATGATACTTGCGTAATCTTAAAGGTAACAAATTTGTACCTTAAATTGTACACTTCCCTGCCGTTGCCGTGGCCTACAGAAAATATGGCATGTGTTCCTCCTACGTAAATTTAGGAGAATGTATCGGATATGAGCGGTTTCTACTAATAAACTAGTTATAACTAGTTATAACGGTGAAATGAAAAGCGGGTCTAAACTACAAAAAAAACGTTAATGTGTGTCTTACAAGAAAATATCGAAAATCACTGAATGTTTGATTGCGTTGACTAACAATAATGCTTCAAAATTTTGAGATTTTCCTTTTAAACGTTGAATTTGACACAAAATTTATATTGATAGAGCAGACAAATTTTCCTCCAGGGCGTGAACAACAAGTTGGCAACGTGTCCAACAAGTTGGAAACGTGACCAACAAGTTGGAAACGTGACCAACAAGTTGGCAGAGTGACCAACCGATTGGCTACGTGACCAACAATTTGTCATTGTGTCATCACAAGGACCCAGCGACACTCATATCGAGCAATAAAGACTGAGGAGGTGTTGATAAGTTTACGGAGCACTTCAGAGACCGCGTGACCAAGCCTACACGCTCACAGCCTATCGCGTCGCTGCCTTAGAAGTGCATCGACTTTATCCTTAGCTCTCGAGCGCGGCTACTCAAACACCGTTAAATGATTAATGCTTGCTAAGAGCGGCACGAAATAACTACCTGTCCTGTATACATATCGATCATTATTTTTTAACCCTCTAAAAGTAGATCGCATTTCCCTGCTTCATTTACGATTGGCAAGTTGAATCATGGCCGACATTTTTGCTTTCGAATCGAATATAGACGACATCCAAAAATATGGTCCATATAAACTCATGAACTTTCACATTGTTGTGTCACAACGTAAATAAACACTAATGTCACAGCAATGTGTCTGTGCCAAAGAACAAGTTTTCCGAGGTCTACTTCTTTATAAGACTTCTCACTATTCAGACGCAAGAAGAAAATGTGTCGCGTGTTCTTACTTTCTGCTGCAACACATTTTGCATGCACTAAAAGCGGCTTATATAATGAGTTGTAGCACTTCACTAGGTAGTTAAATGAATTCATTTCAAACTCTGATGCAACTTACTCACTGTAGTTGCAACACCCACTGGGAACAGTTCATTTGATTGATGATATTCGTCCGAAGCTCATGTTTCATGATTCACGGATTCGCTCACTACTCCAGTACTGAGTTTGCAAAACATGTGTAGATCGGTTTCAAAGTTCAATAAGGAACAAAGGTTTCTAGATGATTACCAATTAGATTATTTTATTGTATAATTTTGGTTCCATCCATTTATAACAGTATTTTAAACGCAAACGCTATTTGAATTCATATTCCAGTTTGAAAAGTTCAAGTTAAACCCATTTGTTTACTGCATATTTTTTCTGGTCATGATTCATCTTCACTTGAAATTTAGTGCCAATTTTTTTCAAAATCGTTTGCGAAATAAAATTATACCTATGTAAATTTTTGGAGCGACTAAAACTTACAGCCAATATTAATTAAGGTGTCTCAAGTGGCATGTAGCTACATGCTCTGGAATTACCAATTCTTTATTAATTATCGCTGGAAAAATTTGCAAGCAGAGATGTTGTTCAGCGGATCAAGAGGCTAAGAAGCTTCACAAATGTCCATACAAAATTCTACTTGGAAAATAACTATCCAGTTATCATATAATAAAATGAATTGTAATACGCGTACGAGTGATGGACGATGTTCTGTTTTTTTAATGTCTAACGAAACCGGTATAACACTGATCTAATATATTTGAAAAATGGGTCATAAAATTCATCTTGTCTTGATGGCGATGTGTACCAAAATAAACGCTTTAATTCAGGCATTTTCTACAGCTTCTTCCAGGAAGTATAAAAAGCAGAGCAGAGACAAGCTTGCGGTTTAGCGTAATGCATTCAGGCCGCTTTAGAGTTCATGAAAGCTAGACGCGGGGGAATTTCTCAGCACGCGGGGCGCCAGGCCGTAAAGTCAAGGAATGAGACACTGACATTCCTGCCCCCCGACGACGATGAAACTATGAAGGAAACCAAATGATACGTTTCAGCCAAAAATGTAACAGTAAAATATTTAATGATGCTTGGAATAATTTTGAAGATTTTTGCTAGAAAGCGAAGCAAATTTCAAAGTGATTTATTAGTTTAGGTTACCTGAAAAACGCTCGTGACGGGCTTATCAGACTCAAATGTCATTCTTTGAATCGTAGTGTAGGATTAAAATATTAACTCAAGTGAAGTCTAGCTTCAGAAAGATTATGATTTCAGAAAGAAAATCATCCTGCCAAATAAAAGAGATTTTCTAGTAAGCCAAAAAAGAAGAGATATTCGCATAATTATTCTATGCTGCAGTTTTAAACGCACGGCATTATTTCCTGCAGCATAGTATCCACATTAATTGATATCTTTCTCTCACCCCAGGTGATTCTTCACCCGACGCGTCGCGCGCTGGGCACCTCGGGGGCGCTGTTCACCTTACCGGGCATTTGGGCGTGCGCGCTGTTGCTGGCGATGCCACAGTTCCTCTTCAGGACGCTGCAACACCACGACATTGGCTTGCCAGGTCTCGACGCTCATTTGTCATTTGTTAGGCATGTCATCTGCCTGCTCCAATCCTGTGCTTTACGGATGGCTCAACGACAACTTTAGGAAAGAATTCAACGAGTTGTGGCTCATACTCATGCCATGCCGACATCGATCCATGTCAGCCAAATCTAAAGTATTCTCGAATAAAAAAGAGGAAAAACTAGGTAAGCCAACTTCCGAGTCAAAAGATCACCCAGAAATATGTCTTATAGTTAAACGAGATGAGAACTTCGCTGATTTGTCGCACTGTTGTAGTGGGTATGAAATTATTGCTCAACCTTTACATTCTCCTCGTCCAAGAGTGGTAGACTTCATCGAGTCTAACAGACCGTTTGAAATATCTAATGGTTTGATGGATCTTTCGCTGTACGTAAAATGCACATCGGTGTGAAGGAGAATATGGTTTCAAATAATTATTTCAACTGTTGGAAGGCTTTCCTACAAATTAGTAAGCCTGCATGAAATATGAAGAACCTTTGCTTTCAATTATGAATTACGAGTCCGTCAAAATACTTGATACGATCACATCACTGAGATAACCCTTTAACCTGCATGTATCATTGACTTGTGCTTACTTTATTGTAGAATCCTTGTCAACCATCTGCTTGAAAGTTTTACAGCTGCTGCTTCAATTTACTTTTTTGTGCCATGCGCTGCCGGCATGTGATGTGAAATTTTAAAGGCATTCGCAGGCAAATGCGATTAAATAGCAATCATTACTTTTTGCATGGCTTGGATAGATAATGATTTTTTTACAAATGCTTTATGATTAGTAGCGTTAGCTACTAGATTAACTTCAAGTAGAAAACAAAGTAAAGCATTATTTGTGGTTGAGATATGATATCATCAGTGTATTCGTAAGTAAATATTATCAAGAGGCAATCATATAGACATGGAGGCATCCTATGAAATTTCCAAAATCGCTATGTAAGTTAATCATTAAGTGATTAGACGTAATAATTTATTGTTAAAAAGCTCAGTGAACTTCTCTGATAATGTGTTTCGTGATTGCTCGCAATTCGTGCTTCCTCAAGACTGTACTGAGGTCAGGCTCTCAATTGTGCATGAACAGAAATCGAATATAAGGAAATTTTCAGTTTAAATCGTGGCTGTCATTGGTTTACTCTTGAATACCTACAAGCATTGTCACTGGTTATAAGCCACCAATTTCCGAGTTCAAATGACAAAAACAGCAAGGTTACAATGAGATTTCTGCCATCGAGAAACATTCTGCTGAAAGCATATACTTCACAAAAAATGTTAAATGAAAAAGAAAAAGAGAAAAAAATGAATTTTATTCAAGGAATTCCTTCTTATATTTGTCATGAAAATATTATGAAAGGCGATTACATTAAAACATCACTACTACGAACATTGTTTGGTAGTCATCATCTATCTTTGCGTGCTAATATCTACGCGTCACTGATAATGAGACAATTAAATTAGGTGCTACAATACCTCAGAGGTTATATTATATATTGTCAATTATCCTCGGTTGGCACTGCGAGCAGTCGGATATTACTCGATAATAAGTTGACGTCGGATTAGACTCTTAAGGATGTCAGAAAGGCTAGCCTGAGTCTTGGTTGGCTCGTTCGCCATACGTTGGATGGAAGGTGTGAGAGATCGTGATCGGGAGTCGATCTAAATTAACATGCATGAGAACGATTAATGTTATTTTCCGAAGTGAGGTAAGGAGGTTGAGGGAAAATCTCTGCACGTGCCCCATTCATGCACAACAGTTGTCCAAGTTAACTTCAAAAATCTATAGACGTTACATAATATTGCAGAGAGCATTGAAATTTTTTAATTGAGTTAAAACATCTTCAATCTATAATAGAACGGAATGGGACATCGATTTTGGCCAAGACACTTCGAATTATGACCTGTCCACGCACTTGGCTTGCACTTTTTAGACTTTGAACCATTTGAATTTCATTTATTCAATGTCAGCAAATTATTGCAATGATTTTACAATAAAAATTTTAATAATTTTATTGCAATCTGAATTCAATATCTCAAGTTTTCATCAAAAGACTATCTAATACATTAATTGCTGGAGAGCTCAAACTCGCTAATTTTTCATAAACTCGCTCAAGTAAACATAAGACTTGCGTTGAACCTTCCTAATGAAAGATCAATATATATGTTCTTCTGTAACGATATTACTGTATGCTTCACTAAAATTTTTAATAAAATAATGATACAATCTTCGGGTACAAATAAATTCCTGTAAATACGAATTTGTGGAAGTATTTCGCAAAATAACTAATACGAATTTGTAGAAATATTAGTTCAATAAAGCTGATGTGCATGATGATATACTGATATTCGTTGTGTTGCTTCCGGAATTTTTGTATATGATGGTCTAAAAATGTAGCCAGTGTTTATTGCCCAGTCTGATCTCGACCTCATCGCTTCCTCGAAAAAACTCAATCAATTACCCGTCGAGTCAGGCGCTTCACTCGCGTCATTCATCATGTCGAGCCAACACCTTCCCAGACTTCCGTCCTCTCTTTCGTCAGTGTTGTTCTTTTCTTACCAGTCAATGTTCTCCCAATGAACATAAGTTCTCCTACAGGTTTTCTGTCAGACTTGTGATCGGCCAGGTGCAAAAGTTACACAGAAACAAGCTTCATTAATGTGGAGACTTTTGTCCAGCCTAGAGCGAAGAAGTGCCAAAAATGATCATCCGGCAAGGTTCATTCTTCTATTGCAGGGACATTAATTGGGAGAAGACGGCAGGCATCATACTTATTTCTACGTAGTCCTGAACAGAATTTTTTTCCTGATATCATAAGGTTTATTACTAAGCCATCATTAATGTTCATATTCTATAGAAGACAGGCAGTAGTTTTTCAATTCAAAATAGAAACGTAAGTGAAGTCAACAAATTGTCTGTAGTGTGTCTCAGTAATGCGGCAACGTACAATAACGACCATCCGACCATGACAACGTTATCATTTACAGTGGGAATCGACAATAATCGAATGTATCTGTCCGTAGAATATCGAAGCTAATAGTAGCATTTCTTTTTAGATAGAACAGAAGGTTGTTGCAGTCTTTGATGTCATTCCTTCGTGATGTAATTAGAAATTGGCTACTGAGATGGCATTTCTTGCAGCTTGTTCATCCCAGAATTAGAGGAAGGAATTGTCATTATAAGAATAAAACTTTTACTAAAGTAAGACTATGACTATGTCTAAGGAACTATATAGATGGTAAATAGCTAGCAGGATAAGAATTAGATGCATGTAAGGAAGGAAATCGAATGTCTCACCCACTAACAGGTTTCTTTCATTGAAGCGGACAGATTGCGATTAAACGTTTGGCGCAATTGCCCCTATTTCGCATTTTCGTGTGCACAAAATTAATTAAATCATATAAGAATGACATTCGCATATTTTTGTATCAAATTACTCGAATTTATACCTCAGAGTTAACTTTTCAGAAGATTTTTTACTCTCTCGTCACGCAATTAAATGACATAAAAAACGTAAATCTTACGTTCATCGACAGCTTTTGACTTAGATGCTGATCAATGCGTTCGTCGTTCGGGTTTCTCGCATTTGCGTAGTGTTATCCATGAGTGAAAATCCAATGAATCAGCAAATCCACTCATGCCGGCACCGAATTTTGCGCAAAACGGCAGCACGTCGCTTCAGAGCGCGCCAATGTTTCCGGGTAATCACTTTCAGCTGCTGAGGCTCTAATTAGCTTAGATCTCATGTACAGGAAAGAATATAAGGTAGACTATCCATGAGCCTGTCCAATCAGCCTGTGCCATTCATCAGCCAATACCAGGGAAGCAAGTGAGAAATACATTAGCTTGTCAGATGAGCAGAAAACTTAGCAATTAACGGCAAAAAAGATTTGAAATGAATCTCTCTTAATGAAAACGATGGCAGTTACTCAGATTGGCTCACAACTCTTGCACAAAGCAGCTTAAACCTTAACTTTTATACAAGACAGCTATAACATTAAAAAATATTTGTCACTTTTTCAATCAAAAGTTCATATTGTCTGATAATTTATGAACGAAATGGGATTTAAATATAGTCACATGCGGTGAATTCAACGCATCACTATAATAATAAACACAAAACGGTCGCGACCAGTCCCAGTTACTGATCAAGGACTCATTTCGAACTAGAGTTATAGTCAAATATGTTCAAAACAATATCCATAATTTATTTGAGTAACCATAATTTTCACGGAAGGTATAGAAAGAATCGTATTCCATAGTTTTCAACTAGAGTGATCAAAATATCTGCAAAACAATATTCATAATTTATTTCAATAAACATAATTTCCACGGAAGTTATAGAAAGAATCGTATGCGGTCTAAACTTTAGAAGCGCTCAGTGTGAGCGACCAAATAAAAAAATATCAACGCAGCCCTTGCAATTTGGAAAGAGGCAGCGGAACAAACAAGGCCCCGTAAATCACCTCAAACTCGTAGCCATCATCTCGAGCAGCACGTCACGATAACACCGCTGGGTATCAGACACTTGAAAATTCCCCGAAGGAAAGCATGATTCCGAATCCGGAAACTTTGAGCCAGATCTTTGCCGAGAATTCAGCGCTGAGAGAACGGATAGGGGCAAGGCTTCCAGTTTAAATAATTTTAAGTTAAAAATTTCATTGAACGCGAAGACTTGGAGTGGATTTGTTTCTATTTCCTCGTGAAGATTCGTGCATTTCGATCGAAATTTGACATAACGAATAGTATTCTCATTAAATTTTACAATATGCTTCTTATCGGAGTATATAGATATAATTTATGGATAAACTACGTCAAGAAAAGTCTTTCAAATTTGTTAAAGTCTTTCAAGTCTTTAATTGTAAAAAGTCGTTTCGGTTTTCTACCTGAACGATGCTTAATGCTCGTGGATCAGCGGCTGTGGTGGGGTAACAATTTATATTTTAGAAGAAAACTCTAACTCGAAATCCGTCGAATAGCCTGACAGAGTCGATAAGGACTTCTACTGCTTTGGTCTTGCCGAAAGTTTCCGCCACATTTCATATTTTTGTTCGACCGGGCGAATATCTCGAGCAAAAAGAAGTATGAAAGTTACGGAACGCCTGGAAAAATTCAGCTCAAGCCATCGAGTGAAACTTGCCTGTATCAACGCGCGAGTGGAGCCTAAAGCTTCTATGTAGATTATAAAGAAGAAATGTTGTGAACACTTGAGACAAGACCTCTATACAATTTCGATAACTTGACTTTGACTCAGATCGATGGTCGAAGTTACACGGCGTCAGTAAATTAATTTTGAAAATTTTTTTTTCATGCAAGAGAATTAACGACGCCGCAGCTACCGTTACTTAGGTTCTAAAAACCTGACGGCACTGGTAATTTTTGGACATGGTCATCATAAACCTTCAATG